AAGACATGGTAGGGCTAAACTAAAGTAGGCTCCACAGAGTCCACACTAGCTTTTTTGAAGGGGGTCTGGATTCATAATTTAAAAATTTGTGAACCTAAGCCCAAAGTAAAAAAATCTTGAAAATGTCCAGACTTAAATTTTGTTGACCATATGCCCTGGGCCCCTCATAGTGTTGGTCCCTTGGCCTATGGGGAAAATGCATAGGGTTCTGCCATTCTGGGCGACTTTGTCATTTTAACTCCTGATACAACTCCAACAGCCCTGTTTCTTTTTAAAGAATACAGGACAAATTTTTTGAAAATCATTGAAACAAATTATTGCAAAGGTTGATATTTCATGGAATAAAATAGTACATATAGTCATCCAATCTGTCTCTTACCTTTCCACTACCTGAGGCAACTCCCGTCCTTACCCTCCCTCCCCTAACCCTGCTCTTCTCAACCCCCCCCCCCACCACTCCTCCCTCTCCCCCCCCCCCTCTCTCTCTCTCTCTCTCTCTCTGACTGTAATGTACATCTATAGGGGCACTTACTAATTACCTGTAATTTTTTACTTGTTGCTCCAATTCTGGTTAAACTTAGCTTTTGCAGCATTTAACCACCCCCCCCCCCCCAATAAAAAAATTCAAACAAACACCAAACCAGACAGAAACCCTTGGTATAATAAACTCTTCAAATGCTGGAAGACAGGGATCTACTTTGACAGAACAATCATTCATTAGAAATTGGTAAATGTATCATCAATCACCCAGGTGCATATTGCTATCAAACTAATCTACCAGGCTTATCTCTTACAAAGCCCTGCAGGTAAACCAAATCTCATCCTTCTTAAAAAATGATGAATAATTTCAATAATATGACAAAAGGAGCATCTGGATATAGGATACAGACAGACTGAAGCATTTAGGCCTTGAAGAGGTTCATCTGATCGGTAGCAATTCCATAAATTGAATTTTTCATAGTTTCACAATCAAAAAGGTTGTTTTACCTGAGACTTTCGCCTACTTGAGTCTCATGATGCCTGCAGCAACGAGTAGCCGGAGGTCTCACAGGTGAAACAACCTTTTTGATTGTGAAACTATGAAAATTCAATTTATGAAGCATGAAGTATTTTCCATAGTGGTGTTACAGGTATGAGAGTTTCTATGATTTGTAAATATTTGTCAAATATCATCTTTCATGGACACAGCTCTTACAACCAAGTCTTATTTGTTCTAAAAGTAATACAAGTTTTTAACAGCATTTAAATCCTAGAATTTGATTTTAAAAAAGCTCACAGCTGCAACTACAAGTAATCTCACATATTAAACATACTGTACTGTACTTATATGCACTTCAAGGTTTTGGTATTATTACCCCAGCTTTAGCATTATCAGTACATGATGCATTTCAACAGTATACATACCCATTAACCTGGGTAAGGAGAGGCAAATACAGATGAAATGCCTCACCTTAGGACATATATGTACACAGTGATTTAAGAACTCAAACCCTCACACTAATGCCAGGTGTCCAGACTTGCAGGTGTCAAGAAATGAACCACAATATCAAATCACAATCAAGTGATTTTTTCTTTCTTCAATTACACACCAGGGTTGTTTCATAAAACTAGTTGTCAATAACAAGTTTCAAATTTCTATCACTAATTTGCTCTTAGCCAATCAAATGCAACAATTTCAGTAGCTTATGATAGTTATTGTAATTTGTTATTGATGACCATTTTTATGAAACAGGGCCCAGATCATTATATAAACTACAGAACACTTGCTTTAGTAGCCTATATGTATATCTTACATTAGAGATGAAATTGATTTACCCCACAAACTGCTTCGCCTAATCCAATAATTGATGCTACATATTAGCAATCCATCAAGGAATTTTGTAACCACAGTAAAAGTGACGATTTTGTTTTAAATTCCCCTAAACAGATGAGGTACTCAGTTTGAAATACCACTAATAAATGATAACCAACAAACTTTAAAGGTCGAATTCATAGAACTCAACCACTTCCACTATACCATCTACACATTGGTAAACCAAATACTAAAACCAACAAAGAACAATATATATATATATATATATGACTGTTCTACAGATTTCCAAGCAGCAGGCAATATTCATTTTCCCCTACGATTTCTGAAAATTGTTTTAGAAAAAGGCATCCATGTTTATCATTTAGAATGAGATAAATCATATTACAGTACATTCCCGTATGTATTTTGATAATGATAACATGAAACACAAGTCATCCACATAATAAAAAAACTGTATCGAACTTTTGCTTTGAAACTATATCTACCATGTGTATTAAAGAGCAAAAGACATAACAAGGAGTAAGCAAAAAGATTTTTCTATAAAGCAAACTGGAAGACTGTACAACACTTCATCCTTCTTCCTCACATGAACCAACACTAGAATAGAGTCCACAGTAACGCACGCCTAAGTTTGTATACTCACATGCAGTTAATCCGTCTAGACCCATGACACAGCTCACAATACAGCCCCCTTCTTCAGCTAGCACCGTCCAAGTTCACTCTCTCTCTCTCACACAAACAGAGCCCAGCGAGTCCTTCAGTTGGCCAACAACAAAAAAACTTGGAAGTGAGTGCTCACTGAGTAATGGCATGGATTACCAGACCGACACTCAAGATGAGATGTCATTAGTCTGGCCTAAGACTCTGGACAGACCGAATAAACAGCACAGACCGACCGACCTAGTATAAAGTCCATCGAGCTACTTACCTCATGTCCCAGTGCCACAGTGAACTCACCCTCTTTCTCAAGCTCCCTCCGATGTTTACAAAGGACTCATCGTCATCAACGTACAAGTAAACTATCAATCAATGTTTACGGATTAAGGGCATTGGACAGACAGATGGATGAAATCGAGAATTAAAAAGATGATACCAAGACTCTGGTGTGAGATGCAACCATACTTTGCGCAGGATTTCTCTTTTCGTTTCTTCGCTCTCTCTTCTCTCCTGCTCTCTCACTCTCTCTAACGTGATGGGATAGCGCTTGAAAATGCTTGGGAGAGAGTGAGCCATACATGCAAGGCAGTCATAAAAAAAAATCTGAGGTAAAAAGTTGGATTGAGGACTGTTGGGGGTTGGTGTATCAAGTGCGTAGGTCGTTCACAAGACTGGTGGGAATCTACAGTCAGTGTGTGTGAGTGTGTGTGTGTTTGTGTGTGAGAGCCGTCTCAGAATAAACCTAGTCTCAACTATTCAGACCCTTCCTTACTGGATGCCATGCAAGTTCAAGTATAACACACACGTGGACGGTGATCTTTTGAAAGATCTGGAGTTGAACATTCAGTGAGCTGATCACTTAAGTCTGTTATAATTAGATGTAAAATTAATCCTTTAAAAAATGTTTACATTGCCTTATTTTCACGTAATAAAAGTGAAGAGTAAGATATTTTCTGAACAAAGATATGGAATCCACCCCACATTTACAAGACTACAAGAAGTCAACGTTCGTTTTAAATATGCACATGACCCTCTTTAGTGAATACTCCAGGAACAAATAAAAACAACACCTTTCACATTTAAGCACAGCTTTCAAATTTTACCTAAGATAGACAGAATAGTGAAACTTGTAGAGAAACGTAAGTTTTGGACGTTTTGTATGTTGTAAAATACCAGAAAATGTGCCACTTGTTAATAACAGCCATTTAATTTCAACAGAATTTGCAATACCACTGTGATTCACTTATTTTGTAGCATGAAACTTTATAAATCTCTACCACTTCTAATTGAACAATATCTATTTCATGCTGTCTACTAAAAAGTTTGCTTTTTTCTTTTTAATGACTTTGAAAACAAGTGGCCATTATTACCTTGAAATTATTAAAAACAGAGGAAATCTAATCCCAGATTTCAAGTTCAATTGTTTCTTGTTAAAACTCATTGAGTTATTATGTTTCATAGCCGAAAAGAGTATTATATAGTGTCTCTATCCATCTACTGCATGGTACCTTGCCTACTGGGTTGATCCAAGAAAACATGAATTTTGATACCTCATTTTCAGACTAAGGAATGACTGTCTTGCTCCAGGAGCAGTGAGACCAAAGTTCAGCGGGGTCGCAGGGTCAGTATCCTGTCACCTTAGCGATATTGCAGTGACCTCATCAAAGGAGGTCATCGATTTGCCTAGCCTGATAGCAATACACCAGCACCACACACTAGAGGCATTGTAGTCTTCTTATTCAGACTAAAATAAGCATCTAACTGGGAATATGAGTGTTAAAAGTGACAAGGAATTCAAACCTTTGGACATATTTTTAAATGAAAGAAGAAATCTGGTTGACAAAAATCTACCTGATCAATAATATTTATAGAGTGCCTACATATCTTTTAAATAAAAGTACTAGTATAATCATATTAGTGACAGTCAGTCATAACAAACGGTACAGGTTGTTTTCTTGCTAAAGAGCATCCCACCGACCCACCCTAGTAATCTTTGGTACCCCCAAAAAAACCAAAACAGACTACCAAGAGTTTAAAAAGAAAAGGACAAAAGATTATGAATTCATAAATGTTTGAAAGTTGTCTCACAAAATGTATCTGAATCTCAAATTGGAATTTGGGTCATTGGGAATGGGAACAGCTCTCCTTTTTATTGCAAGCTGATATCAAATTTGCTTTGTTTTCTCTGAATATTGTTTAAAATTTCAGATATTCACTAATATACTTCCCAGGCTTTTCATTTTTCGATTTCCAGGCAACCTGATGTCAAGGTTGGATTGCCCTACAAATATTTTTGTGATATCAGTCATTATATTAGAGTAACTTGTAATTAATTCAAAGTATAAAAACAATCTTCAATAGGCTCCAGAGGGGTGCTAAACCTAGTCCTCTGATAAAACATATAAGGGTTACACATTTTTTAAATACAGAATGTGATATTCATGTAGATCACAAATTTCTTTATTTTGGTGCATTATTGATGATTTTTCTTTTACATATTTCAATAATCTAATCAACATGTAATACTCACAAATATTGAAGAAAAACACTTTCATATTCCTGACCTCTTTATTCTCCTGCTTCTCCAGCAAACCCTGGATAGTTCTCCAGCAGGCATGCATGCATACCAAGCACCACTTGAGGAGGGAGGGTGCGTATTCAAAGAGAGCTGAGAAGAGAGACTAAAAAGCGGGCCAGTGCCGTGGGCTCTCGCACCATGCACAGCATGCTCTCCCACTCTAATTACCAGCTAGGTTAAAGTGCAGTGCAGACACGCACTTGCTTTCCATTATACATGTACGATGCATTCACACCACACAAACATGACCCCACTATGAACCTGAATACTAAATTAGCTGGGGCAACAACCAGTCCAGACACTCCTCTAGTCCAATCCCGCTTCAGACTAACAATTTAGCACCACAATTGATTGGTGGAGAGAGGACGAGATGCAACTAATCTCAATAGGCGGTCATCAATGGATCAATATTGAACACTGGAAAGGTTTAAGCCGGTCAAAATTTCAACACTTTCGTTTTTCACCTCCTTGTCTGAACATGTCCTGCAACCATTGCTTTCACGGTTGAAAAAGCAGTCTTGGGATGTTTTTGATCTGTAAAGAGCAAGGGCTTCTCAACCAAGTCTGAGTGCTAAACGTTTGTGGTGGCATAATCCTCAAAGACATACCTACATGTATAGTCCCTTGGATAGGAGCTTTACAATGTAGGTCCCTTGGGTCCTATACATGTATGTGACCTGTCATTATAAACTTACTTTTTAAAGGGGAATAACTCCACTGTATAAAAAAAAGTTTGTGCGATTAAAAAATGCAGAAATCCAGGACAAATTTGAAAGCTGGAGATAAATCAGAGAGAATAGGTTCAGTTATTTAAAAAGTCATCCTCATCAGAATAAGAATCTCCAAATTAAAAATTATTTCATCTAAATATGATGCCATGCCTTAGCCCAAGCTCAATATTTTACTCTCTCCCTCCCTCTCTCCCTCTCACCTTCTCTCCCTCTCTCCCTCCCTCCCTCTTTCTCTCCCTCCCTCTTTCTCTCCCTCCCTCTTTCTCTCTCTCTCTCTCTCTCTCTCTCTCTCTCTCTCTCTCTCTTTCTCTCTCTCTCTCTCTTCTAAGATCTCTCTCCCGATCTACTCCACCTAAATCCTGTACTTGCATCATTATATTGCTCTGCAGATTATTTTTCAAATAGATTATTATGCATTTACATGTACATCCATTTGTACATTTTCTTAACACATGGTATCCTTTAACAAAAAAATTAAAAGCAGACGACAGCAAAGTCATTTTATCAAATGAAAAGGGAAAAAAATGCTTGAATTTGTCAGATCTATACCTACATGTAACACCTATAATTTTTTGTTTTTAATTGTTACAAATCAGGTCTAGATTCATATTCGATGAAGTTCATAGCACCTTTAATACACTACACAGATTCCATAGAAGCACACATTGGAGAAGGAATTGGAAAGATTCAATCCTGTATGAATGCAGCCCTGTACATTAAAATGCGGACAGCCTGAAGACTATAAATTTTGCAGCCAGCTCAACGATAATCTTGACATCAAAGTTGGACATGCATAATGCATGCTGCATGGCCATACTGCAGCTTCCAACTATACACATATTCCAAATTTCCTCCCACAATTCTGTCATGATAGCTGGCACTGGATACTGAATGTTCTCTGAAATATTCATGAAATTCCAACATGTAACCAGGGGGGTTCAACTCCGCTTCTGCATCCGTCTTGCCATGGGGAAATTTTGGAGGGTCAAAAGTGCACACTGCTTCCACTTATCGTGTATTAGCCTATGAAGACGACAAATCTTTAGTGCACCAGCGAAATGGAGATTTTGGACTGCGCGCAGCGCGCAAAATATTTAAATTAAAATTTGGAATATTCATGAGCTCTTTTCCACTTATTAGCATATTATCGCAATAAAAAAAAGACAATGCGCATGCGTTACTATATCGACAGAATCCTTAATTGGGCCGATAAATGTAGAATAAATTAAGGTCAGAGTTGGGGAGGTGTGTGTGTGTGGGGCCGGGGGGGGGGGGGGGGGGGCTAATAAACTTTTAAATGGTTGACTTCGTTGGGGCCACAAGTACATTTTAAAAAATTCAGTTCAGTTAAAGATAAAGTTGAGTTCTGGTCATGTGATTGCATTGTGAAAGAAACGTTGTGGAATCTGCCAGAAAAGGTTGATCATCTAGTATATATGTATTCGTGTGTATTGCAAGGTTCTGGAATCATCAAAATGATAAGAAATTTGGCCAAATCTTGGCAAAGTTACAAGCACTGTACACAGAATGATGTATATGGGACTACACGAGCACATGGCGATAAAAACCTACCCCCGATTTTTACGATGTTTCATGTCATATTTAGAATATGAAGGCATTTGAAGAGCCATGCCTTTCAAAAAACATGTTTAATCTGATGTTCTTCCACGCTTGCATAATAACAATGATAATGCTCACAAATTATTTTTTACCTCTTCCCAGAACTCAACTTTCTCTTTAAAAGGCAAAAATAATGACCCCATTTCACTGTGGTACCTCAATTCATTTTTTACCTCTTTTTTTATTGTTCGTTTATTAACTTTAACTTAATATTTTTTAAATCAGACAAATTGCACTACTCATTTAGCCCACTTAACAATTGATATTTTCATATCTTTAGTGTCTAAATAATGAATCATTCTCACCTTGACTTCAATGATCTTCATATTGTGCCCCATCCCCAATTAAATTTCAATTTTATCTCCTTCTCTTTGTTCTTGCATTCGTCGCCACTTATTTTTTTTTAATTTGCCCCTCCCCAACAGTAACATTTTCAATACAGGGACCCCTTCTGATATTGACATTTCCATAGGCTCTATTACCCTCCCTCCCCCTTCCCCACCCCAATTATCTATGCTTTCATCATTTTGGCATTGACTTATTCTTTATTTAACCCCCCCCCCCTCATCTTTATTGTCAACCATTTTTCATACTGCATTTATATATTAGTCTTGCCCACTCTCTCTCTCATTAGGAAAGATCATGGTTAAATCTATCTCGCTGATGCCAGATATAAACAAACATCAAAAGGTCAAACACCATACTCAATTATACACAAGACTGTATCAGCCCCCATCTTACCTCAGTCATACAGCATTATCATTACAGAGTGCCTACATCATCATAATCACCAGCATCATCACATATATTTCACAAAATAAGAAAATGAAAAGAACAGAAGTAAGCAGTATTAACTAATTTATTAACATCTATGAACTCATTTATCAACATATTTTGTTTCTATCAAGATCTTTTTAAATCCAACATGACATCAAAAAAAGGATGAGGGAGGGGGGTGTCTCTTGAATTCAAATTTTTCAGTTGTAAAAGTTTACTGTAGATTTTGAACAAAATATTCAATAATATCAACATGCTATTTTATTATGTAAAGCACAGGTATATACTGAGTTTTATGAGTACTTTATCTTACATTAGACATTATTGTTGTTGTTTTTACTACTACCTGTATTATCATTATTATTACTGCTATTATCATGATCATTGTCGTTATTGTTACTATTTTTAATATTGTTATTATTATTAATGTTATTAATTATATTACTACAGTATTACTATTGAACTACATCATTTTATACCCCCCCCCCCCCCCCCCCACCCCTTCAATTTACTATTCAGTTCAGCATCCCTAATATGTTTGTCAGAACTTGACTTAAGATTAAATATCAAAAAACTATGTTACATGTACACGCATTTAAAAGAACAAATGATTACTTTCATGATCCTCGATATATCTTCTTCTTCTTCTTCTGGTAATCTTCAAAAGGCGTTGTAGCCTATCACGAAGATGAACTATTACTAAAGATTACAAGTGGTGTGAGGAAGACAGAATGTTTCTAAGTGGGATAAAGAGAGTAGATGCGTCAGAAGTAGTCCCTGGCAGTTCTCTGGACTGTCAGCATGCACTATATTTGCTGGAAGTCAGTTCCATTAACTTTGGGACAGAGTGTTGGGCAAATACAAACTTGTCTATGTCGCTTCTGACTTAGTGCAACTGAATTAGGGTCATGTCATGGTACTTCCTGCTTGTGATTTGTTAAAGCCCGTCTGTACTAGTTTGGCCAGGGGGATTAGACCACCTGGCAAGGTCACTGAAAGGTGGTTATCTCATCAAATCAGCTCTCAATTAATATAAGAAAAAGAGGATCATGGGGGACCAACAGGCACCGATTAGGCATTGTTTGCTATATAGAGGGCGCAAGTAGCTATAAGTAGTGCAGTGGGAAAATTTTCAAGGGAAAGCGGAGAGACCATTGACTATCTTGTGCACCATTCCCAATCTTCTTGCAGAGTGCCTTGTAGTTGTAGATATAGTAGGCAATTAAAAGGTGCTGATCATCTCAGTCAAACTGCTGGTTCTCTTGTGGTCCCCATTGTGAAGTAGCGTCCTGGACATCTTAGATGTTGTAGGGATCCCAGACACCGGAACAGTTCTCAAGATGAGGGTGGACTAGGGACTTGTACAAAAGAAGCCTGGGTATCAAACCATGCAGATTGGGACAACCTGCATAATAAAAACAAAAAGAGAGGAGAAATCAAATAAGATTAAACCTGCTGCATTATATTGTATTTTCAAAAATAGTACCTCCCCACTTTTTGTAGGCCTTGCATTTTAATTTTATTAAAAAATGATAAACTTATGTCTATCTGATAGGGCCCTTTTTGAAAAGAAGAGTAAAGGTTTAGAGTTCTAGATGTATTTCCAATTATTCTTAAAGTAATTTCCAATTTATTTTAAGTTATTATTTGCTAGACTTTTGTGAACAAAAGTTTGTTAGATATAATGTAATATTGAGGAAAAAATGCCTTTGAGTACGTCTTTTAATATGCTGAGAGAATAAACTGTAGCAACACCATAGTTTGTCACCTAAATAAAAAGCTAGAGAATAAATGAGAATTACAAGATATAATGCAACACAAGATGACAGTTCCCCAAATCTTTGTATATAGTCCTAGTCGAGTGCGGTGTTCGCATGGGCTTAGATTATACAGCCTGAATATTTTCGGACTTTATACAAACATACCTTGCCAGAGTTCAACTTAGGTGTCCTGTTCTTGAATTAGATCTACACCATAACATTTGATGATCAGGTCCTGGTGCTCTTTGTTGCACTTCTGTGATCATTATCTGCTTCTTTGTTCCATAGGATCTACAATTTAAAGAAAACATAAACTTAGTAAGGTTCCTGCTAATATCAAATGCATGCATTAGTTATCAGTTTATAACTTTGTTCATGTCCTTTAATAAAGAAAGAAATATCCATATCATATGTAGGGTTGGATCCAGAATTCTCACCAACATAAAACTAAAAGGGGTGGCATAAAATCCTGAAAATAAACTAATTATTTCAAACAAGGCACAATGACATGAGTAAGAGCAAAATCAGGGAAAGAGGGGGGGGGGGGGGGGGGGGGAGGAGACACCTTTTTTCTTTTGTTTTTGTTGTTGATGGTAGATCTAGCCTAGTAGTAGATCTAGATCTACATTCAAACTAAGCTGAATCTGGACCTGGATCACAATAATGACACATGTGCACGACTAGTCTAGTCTAGTGTAGCAAAAACGAGACTAGACCCATGGCTATGTAATTCTTTGCTATGGCATAACACAAGCTATAGATCTAGATCTAATTGCCTATTTTCAGTATTATTAGTAGGTGGCTCTAGACCTAGATCTAGACCCGTCCCTAGACCTATGCCACATCTGAAAAAGGGGGGCACAGAATGATTGTGCACCCCCCCCCCCCCCTCTCCATAACTTCCACATCATTTATTTAATCCACCTACACCAGGCATTTATTTAGTCTTTCTTTATTAGAATGCATTAGGCCTAGAATCTAGCCCTAGATCTAGGCCTGTACTAGATGCGGGGTTAAATCATGCTGTTTATATTTAAGTGCTAGATATAGACTAGACCTAGATCTAGGCCTAGCCCTAGGCTCTGCTTAGGCTTTGCTTAGCCCGAATGTTTCTGTCTCTTTCGTTCGTTAGCCTCTGATTTGGGTAGGGTCGGCTGAAGAGAGGAGCCGACCCTACCCAAATCAAGGGCTAACGAACAAAAGAGACAGAAAATTCAGGCCAGACTATGCTATGAATACTAGCCTAGCCCTAGGCTTTACAGTAACACACTGTAAGTTATAGCCGCGCCAGCTCAGGAAACGCAGTCGCTTCTTGGTAGAGTGTTACAGCCGGCTAGAACCGGCGGATTGAAGATCATAAACCGCTCGACGAGATCTCATCGGCTTGGACTAGCAATGAGCCATTTGCGCAGTCTCCAACAGGTCCACATCTACGACCGATTACTATCGGAAATCAAGCTATGAACTGAACTTAAAATTATGAGATGTGCTCTAATGAAATAACCTACGGTAAAATCCTGATTGTTTCTGAAAATACTACTGTCGATGACTTAAATTAGAGTTCATTCAATCAGTTAATATTCTTTGGTCAGAAGAAAGAAAAGAGGATGGGGTAGGGGGTTAACCGGGTAATACGTTGTGACAATGCGGAGAGCCGCTCACTGCAATGACGAACACATCACAATCATTTCAGAGACCTTCACACAAAATGGATCTTTACTTACTTTTCTTGATATCATAAGGTATCACTTCGATGCCAATGTTCGCCTGAAGATTTTCTGCTTCACTGAGACGTACTTGACAAACTTCTATTATAATAGAAATTCACTTAAAAGAAAAATGTTTCATTGTTCGTAATTGAATAACTTGAAAGTTGCAGTTCATACAACCACCATTTTCGTGCTCAAATCGTAGGGAATTCTGGGAATGCAAAAAATGTTTTATGCATGACCTAATACATAAAACATTTTGTCGATGGCCAATCAACAAACAGTAGTTGGCGTATTTTTTACGTCATTGCTCATGAATATTCATTGACCCTCCAAAACCGTCGTTCAAATCGGACAAAACCCCCATAATGCATCCAATGCAAAACCTATGAAATGTCAAAGGTCACGATTTTAGTTGGCCCTCTAGTCCTCCTACGGAGGACATACTGTGTATGATCGAATCTCTTTGCATGTAACCCATGCATCCTGATTATTAAGTAATACAAATGATGCATTTTCATTCTTCTTAAAAAGACGAAGACTATGAAACCCATTCAATACACAGTGACTGTAAAACACAACATACATTTTGACTTTTAGTCATCGTAGGACTAGGAGTTGCTGCTCGTTTATTAAATATTACACATACTTTTAATTAATAATGAAATAGGAATAAAGAAAAAACTTGCCTCGTGCAATGCAAGAATACATGTATATAGCTCACAAGCAAACACAGGTATTAAACAAAATATTTACAACTACCGTATACCAACACTTGCTCTAAAAAGGAAGAAAGAAAGAAGAGAATGAAGAAGAAAAAAAAACACTGAATATAATCAGCCACATCCTGAAGAAGCTTTGAATAAAGTGAGCATGTCACTGAACTGTAAAATCCTCTTGAACAATCAGCCATTGATCTTCATTGATTCTTACCTTACAAGTATTCAACTCACAAATTGTGACCACACTAGCTCTTTCCTCTTCACTGCTAAGATTAAAAAGAAAACTTTCCATTTCAATTATATCAAACACTCCTTTCCTGTCATACAACATCATACACTGAATGTATAATTTTTTAGCAGAGAGGACCATTTCTTTTTATGTCATATTTTTGGTCATTTTGATGAAACCCCGTAATTGCAAGTGCAATCAATGCAATACAAAGCCTGAGTTAACCAACAATTGTCAATGCTCAATATTTCCACAATGTAAATTGTATTTTAATGGAGAAACAAATCAATTTCCATCAAACATGCTCAGCATGTAAGCAATGTAAAGGTTAATGCCCTTCAGGTGGCTCTTCCATGAGCAAACTTAAAAGTTAAAACTGCAAATATTTTTTAAATCATGAAAATATTGCACAGGATTACATTTGTATTTAGAAATGAAAAATAGTCAAAATAAAATGGACATGAAACATTATAAATTTATCCTTGAATCTTATCTTTGAATCTTTAATGATTTTAAATTGGTCGATAAGCTTGAGAGAACATTCCATTTTCATTGTTTTTGTTTAGCTTTTAAAATAAATGACACTGGGGGAAGAAAAAAAAGATAAATGTAATGTATATGCCTACCTCTGTCCATAAGAAATTGGGCGCATTTACACGATTAATTTCATAATTATACTGATATACGGAAATGTACATGTACCTCTGGTTTATTTTTTTTAAACAGACACAAACAGTACATCCATAGGTGTGTTTCTCCATTCAAGAAAAATTAAAGACATTTTAATTGATCAGCTTCTCCACATAACTTGTTATATCAAATCAAAAAAGTATGCATGAATATGATGATGAATTCTATCCTACTATATCCAAGGAGTTGCTGGTAACTCCTTGCTATACCTTATCAAAACCATGTAACTCCTTGCTATACCTTATCAAAACCATGTAACTCCTTGCTATACCTTATCAAAACCATGTAACTCCTTGCTATACCTTATCAAAACCATGTAACTCCTTGCTATACCTTATCAAAACCATGTAACTCCTTGCTATACCTTATCCAAACCATGTCAAGCCGATGATTAATATATAAATATATTCTAGTAAACTACAGCCTTGGCTAGAGTAAATCTCTTGGTTTTCTAACTGACATTGGTGTGTGTTTGAGACATTCAGATGGTCCAAACTTTCACTCTAAGGTTACTGGGACAAAGGAGCTAATGACTATGATACCCACTGTAAATTACACCCATTTCAATTACTTCCTACAATAACAGGTATTCACTTCCTTTGTGTTGTAATTCACCATTCCATTTTGATGTGACCAGAAGGGTAGGAGATAGTGATGATTTATGGCTGGTTTTAAGCATTAAGTCTTCTTTATTTATTCTTCGTTTCATCCTCTTTGTGATTCTCAAATGCTGATCTAGGTCTACCTCTTCCAGTTAGAACTACCGCAATATCCATCACCCCTCCTTTTTCTCTCTCTCTCCCTCCCCCCCCCCCTTCCCCTTCTCGCTCTCTCTCTCTCTCTCCTTCTCTCTCTTACTTTTCTTCTCCATTTTCTCATTTCCTCTTCTACAAATTTGATCAATCAATTTATTTGTAACTATTCTTTTTCAGTTTACCTTTCCTACCTGTACATGTATATCCTTTTTTTAAAATACTAAATACTGTCTAAACCAAGGAGATACCAGTACATCTAAACAACCAACGGTAATATTGGTCAAATGATATCTCATTGTATTCAAATCTATTTTGTTCATACTACTATCATTTTCCCAATTCGTGTAACATCATGTTATATCACTATATTTATGCGCAGTTCTACTATTTAAACAGGACTTTTGCCAAACTACAGCCACTGTAAAGGAATACGAAAAGATATGGGATGGGAAACTGCCCTAGCATGATGAAAGAAGCTTGGGGGAGGCTGAATATCTCATTTTCGTTACAAATAATTCTAAATAACTTCCACGTAGGCCTGCAGACATGAACTGCAAACACAACCAAATTTCACATATTCATGAACATGAGGATTTACTTCATTGTCACAAAGACAAAATGGCCTTTTTGTATCATGTAATAACTTGATTCACACTATAATAAAATCCTATTACTATTGAAGAGTCATCTTCTTTAAATGACGAGGCCTACATCTGTTTACATTTTACTATACATGTACATGTTTCTGAGTTCTTGTAATCATATCATGGTTAAAACTAAAAAATGTACTTAACAGCAGGCTATAGTATTTCAGCGCATGCTTCACTCTGTGCTACCTTCCTTTCATCAAACTTTTCCCCTCACAGCTCGCCCCTCTCATAGGAGCTTCCTCCCACATGAGCCCAACATGACAACAACCTCCATATTTGACAATTCCCAGAAAATGAAACTTCCTCTGCTTTCTCAGCTCTCCTTATTCCTTCAGTGATGAGATATGTTGCTTTATATGCACAAACATTTCTTGCTTTTCTGTCTGACTATAACTACCTCTCAAACTTGAACACTAATAAAATAATAGTACTTGGTTTCAAAAGTTCAGTGTTTCGGTCAATCAAGTTATTCCCCAACACCCTCCCCACCAACTTTTTTTAATTCCGTGATTTTTTGCCTATTTTCTTCTTCCCCACAATTGTTTCCTGATTTAATGTAGTCTACATGTCATCTTTACGACAGCAATCTGCCATGTGACACCTGATTAAAATACATTTAGGCTAATAAATATCTTCTTCTATATCTATAGTTGCCTCCATTTTAAGCTGCTTTCACTCATACTCTCTAAAAAATAATTGAGTGATCACTAACGTGACTCCTCTGGAGAGTGAAAATGTAGAGAAAATAGAGTGAACATTAACTCTTTTCTTCTTAGAAAGCACTCTAAATCAATCGCTATTCACTCCTAAACAAGTGATCAATGAGGTGACTGGGGGGGAGGGGGATGAAAATAGAGTGAACATTCACTCTTTTCTTCTTAGAGAGTAAGCTCCTTTCTGATCTTTTCTTATCTAAAATTGTTGCTAAGAATTGGTGGCATCAGAATCTCAGATTAATGCATGAAATTCAAATTATTATCCAATATTTTATGGTAGTCTTTTGGCACAGACAGTACAGTGCTTCAGACACTTCCAAAACATTCCTTGAATCACACCTAGAACCAAACCTCAGGAAGATGTAATTAGTAGTCTGCACTGGATAACTCGGCAGTGAAAGAAAGGCTACATCTATAGTATATTACCATGGAGCTATTAACAGAGGGTGACCCAAGAACTGTCATGTTGAATTGGTATGAAAACCCCTTTTTTAGAAGTTAAACAATATTCCAAGTTAAAAAAACTTTGAGCCTAGCATAACTCTGTCAGTGTCTGATTGTGTCAAACAACAGTAAAGGGCCTATAGACTACAGTCACCATAGTCTTGTGTTTCAGACCCTCTGTTGTACATGACTACTGTAACACAGATTTGTGCCTGCAAACAACTGAGCCTGACTGTGATTCGCCCAACGTTGATCCTGGGGGTCATGTGACCTTATGAGGTCGTTTCACGATGGCCTCATAAACACTGAAGTTCATGCCTCATGCCTGCAATGCTGGATGTGACGGCCAAACAAATTCTAAACACTTTGAAACAGGAAATTTCACCAATTTGATTGGCAAAAAGTTGCCTTCTTGAACATGGAACTTCATGCAATGAAATAACGAAGCTATTCAAACGGAAATCCTTGACAGAGAGGGTGGGCTTATGAAGCAAACTAAACAAACATAATTTACAAATAGCCTATCAAAATATATATAATCTTGTTTGAATTATGAAAGCTACAGCACTGTGCGTCATGGGATTGGGCACAGCCAACCACTCTTTCAAGAGAGTTGATTCTACACATTTTTCCTCAACGTTTTATTATACAGCATTTACTTTTCCTTGACTTTGCTTCACTTCTGGTGGAATGAAAGGCGGGTAGACAAAAAAAGACAACAGTTCGAATATCATCATCACAAATATATATATACACTTCAGCTCATCTGACTAGTTGGCCCCAGTATCAAGCTCTGGATCCAACAAGACATCACTTGCATGTGATTTAAATACTGGTCTACTTTGGCATAAAACTTGTTTGTGTACCGGTAAAATAAATCCCTTCTCATTTTGCATTCACACATCCAAAAGGGAGAACAGATTTAATAAGTCTATTTTTGTACATTTT